GTGAAAACTTTGGTCAGCTGTAGTGCATCAAGTGAAGAAGCCATTACCTTAGCACACATCTTGCTAATGGATGCATAAAATAAATCAGAATAAAGCACAAACGCTCACACAGTTCACAGCTATGGCGGCATGATGCTGAGATATTGAGTAGTTTCCAGGGAAGGAGCTTGGTGTTTCCACTCTTCTCTGGGTGTGAACTGCATCTATAATTCCTTGCTATAAAACAAATGCTAAACGCTATTTTTGTGCTGAGTGAGAGGTTGGATGAGAGATGCAGTATTTGGGGGACATGAAGAGAACTTCTGTGTCAGGGTGGGCATTTTTGAGTTTTTCAATGACAATGGACTGGAACATTATCCAAAATTAACAAAACCCTGAAGGCAAGGTTTTTGCCATGGAGCTAGCATTCGGCTTCTGGGATGAAGCAGTTGTGGAACCAATCCCAGAATATTTCGGACTCCATCCATGCTTTTTTGTTCCACTTCCAATGGACTGGCATTTTCTCCTCTAAGTGCTATTGGGTTTTGTGCTCTGTGTACCATTATTGGTTTGCACTTAAAGTCACTCTTGACATTGGCACACAATAGCAAGGTTGCCCCGGTCTTCGCATGATTTAAAGCCAGGGGGTTTGGAAGCCATTTGCATTGCATAGGTTCATTTGCCAACATTCTTGTAGAACAAGCCTGTCCCATCAGCATTGAAACCTGCTCTTCCATATAACCCTTTTCATGTATAATGCTTAACAGATATTTTAAAAAATTCTTCTGCAGCCTCCTGATCTGTAGGACCTGCTTTGCCTGCAAATTTAACATTTTTTCATGTGGTATCTATCACCTTTTGAAACCTGCAAGCCAGCTTGCACTAGCTGAGAAAGGTTTGACATTTTCTTCACTCTGGGTAACATGACTGTAAATTTCTTTGGCCTTTAGCCTCATAACAAAGCTGTCCACTACACTCTTTTTATTGGTTGTCATCTCATGAATCCACAAATTTAGCTGCTTTTCCATCGCTGCATCACACACTTGTTTTTAGCACTTTCTGGAACAGCCTCATGTACAGATCTGCAAATCTCCTCTCTTTATGGATATATTGTTTTGTTGATTCATTAACATTGAATTCATGGCCAATAGTACTATAACTCAGGCCTGAATGAAGCTTATCTAACACATATTTTCTCTGTAAGACACATTACAGACTTCTTGTGCTTAGGAACCCTAGGCAGTGCTTTAATACAACTATTCTTGGGGGCCATTTAAAACAGTGAAATCAGCAAAAATGTGACACTAGTAGATTGTGAAAGGACATTTGCATATATTATGAGCTAAAACAAGATGGTGCAAAGCATGGCCTTGGTTCAGGTTTAGCTGGAGATGTGTGCATAAGGCAATTCAAATTTTTCACTTCTATGTACATGTCCATAATGTCTGAGAAAGTGTGGCAAGTACTGATTTTGGGGTTACGCATACATTTTATCTAGTAGGCAAATTTGCAAATAGAATCAGTGAATGAGGACCAACTGTATTTGTATGGGTCTCTTGCAAAAACTGTGTGATCAATAACATTTTCAAACACAAATATAATTTTAGAATACAATTTTGTGGATAAAGTGGGAAGGAAATGAATTAAAGGAGAAAGAAATTAATGTGAAATTTCTGACTTTTAAAGAGCATGTTCATAAATATTTTCTAGATGGAGGATGGGTATTATATCTTGTATGTAGAGTCATCCTATCTAATAATAGACAAACATGGTAGTTAACCATAACTTCGCTACCCTTCCCATTGGCTAATCAGCGAGATATGCAAATTAACTGCCAACCAAGATGGCGGCCGGCAGCCAAGCAGCTGCAGCGAACAAGAGGCTTGCTTGCTCCAGTGATGGAGGAAGCCAAGGTTCCCCGCCTGCCACTGCCAGCCTCTGAGATGCACTCTAAGAAACAATGTTGCAATTATAGAAGCTAAACAAACCCAGAAACCTGCTTTCAGCCAGCTGGGCCTCAAGCTGGAGCTGCAACAGTGTTTCAATTATAGAAGCCAAACAAACCCAGATACCTGCTTTCAGCAGCCGAGGTCTCAGAGCTGGAGCCGAGCCTCAGAGCTAAAGCTGGCTCTCAGTTCGTGACAGCCATAGAAGGTAAATAAATCCCATAATAAAAAAAAAAAAAAAAGAAAAAAAGGAGAGGTTGGGAGCTTCAGTCACCTGCCAGCCTGAAAACGGCCCTCAGCCCCTCACCCAGACTGGCCAGGCACCCCAGTGGGGACCCCCACCCTGAAGGGGGTGTGACCAGCTGCAAACAGCCATCATCCCTTCATCCAGGCTGGCCAGGCACCCAAGCGGGACCCCACCCTGATCCGGGACACCCTTCAGGGCAAACCAGCCGGCCCCTACTCATGCACCAGGCCTCTATCCTATATAGTAAAAGGGTAATATGCAAACTGACCCTAACAGCAGAAGGACTGGGAATGACTGGTCACTATGACACACACTGACCACCAGGGGGCAGACGCTCAATGCAGGAGCTGCCCTCTGGTGGTCAGGGTGCTCTCACATGGGAGGAGCTCTGCTCAGCCACAAGCCAGGCTGATGGCTGCCAGTACAGCAGTGGTGGTGGGAGCCTCTCCTGCCTCCTCAGCAGCGCTAAGGATGTCCAACTGCAGTTTAGGCCTGCTCCCTGCTGGCAAGTGGACATCCCCCGAGGGCTGCCCAGCTGCCAGAGGGATGTCTGATTGCCATCTTCGGCCCAATCCCCTGGGGAGCGGGCCTAAGCCAGCAGGTGGTCATCCCCTGAGGAATCCCAAACTGTGAGAGGGCACAGGCCAGGCTGAGGGACCCCCTCCACGCTGAGTGCACAAATTTTTGTGCACTGGGCCTCTAGTCCTATATAATAAAAGCCTAATACGCAAATCGACCGAACAGTGGAACAAACGATTGCTATGACACTCACTGACCACCAGGGGGCAGATGCTCAACGCAGGAGCTGCCCCCCTGGTGGTCAATGCACTCCCACAGGGGAAGTGCCGCTCAGCCAGAAGCCGGCTCATGGCTGGTAAGCGCAGTGGTAGTGGCGGGAGCCTCTCCTGCTTGCACTGCAGGCAGGTGGTAAGGAGCCAGGGGTCCTGAACTGCGAGAGGGATGTCTGACATCCCCGAGGGGTCCCAGACTGTGAGAGGGCGCAGGCTCGGCTGAGGGACCTCTCTCCCTCCTCCAGTGCATGGAATCTGGTGCACCAGACCTCTAGTATGTATATAAAGAATGCCTAACAGTTTAGTTTTAAAATGTTATCAGGATGTCAGAAGTTAATACTTTGCAACTATTTAACATTATGAAGATTTTAGATGTTAACTACACATTTGGAACAAAGATTTTCAAAATTTTTTTAGGAAGGAGCAAAAAGAACTAGGAGGGAACTTTGGTTTTGATGTTCTTCTCTGCCGTCTACAAAAACAAATCTGTTCAAATTGGGAGGGAAATATGTTGGCACTTTCTTTGAAGAATTTTTAAATTATAGGAGCAGAAAAGTCACATTTCCTCCCTCTTTACACCTCTCAACATGCTGATTATGTTTTGATTTCTAATTGTAAAAGACCTGAGCACTTTCAAATGAAACCACAGTATTCCTTAGAGAGACCTGATGTAATGTCCTAACTTCCCCCTAGAGGACAGTACAAAAAGGCCTTGAATGTCCTCAAAAATGCTAGAAATCTGGATGATGACTTGGTGTAACTGCCAAAACTTAAAGTCCTCATATACAGTTCAGAACAACACAACAAAAAGCGCTTCTGATGTCTCCGGCTTTTCCCTCGATTTTCTGTGTAACTGGTACTGTTCCTGGTTTCCCTCGTGTCTCTGGCCCTGGGAGGCTGTCCATGATTATTTACGTGTGTGAGCCGTGGCCCTCACAGTTCTACCTGGGACCAAGCACCAGGCAGTCTGCGGAGCCCTCCTCCGCTTCACCTGTGGTGGAGGCTGCACTGGCCACAGTTTCTCTCCAGCTGACTTACTCGCTGACTTGTAATCGGCATTTTCGTTAATCATTCATGAAGCACATGGTCTGTATTTGGGGAAACGTTGCACTGTAATTCCAACATGCATAATTTATGTTGCTAATTACTTTAAACAATCGTATTAAAATGCGAACTCCACCCTCCCCCGAGCCCAAGGTGGGGAAGAACTGAAGAAACACTGGGCTCTTTACAGCCCCTTTGGGGTTGCTCAAGCCACCGAGGCCGAGCTCACCCGCGTTCCTCTGGACGGGGCAGCCTGTCCAAGGGGGCCGTGTCTGAAGTGGCGCACCAGGTGCCGGGAGGAGGAGGAGGAGGGCGCGGTGGGCCGGGCCAGGTGGGCCGAGTCGGAGGATGAGGACCAGGTGCCGGGAGGAGGAGGAGGAAGGCGCGGTGGGCCGGGCCAGGGGGGCCGAGTCGGAGGATGAGGACCAGGTGCCGGGAGGAGGAGGAGGAAGGCGCGGTGGGCCGGGCCAGGTGGGCCGAGTCGGAGGATGAGGACCAGGTGCCGGGAGGAGGAGGAGGAAGGCGCGGTGGGCCGGGCCAGGTGGGCCGAGTCGGAGGATGAGGACCAGGTGCCGGGAGGAGGAGGAGGAAGGCGCGGTGGGCCGGGCCAGGTGGGCCGAGTCGGAGGATGAGGACCAGATAGCGAGAAGAGGAGGCCTCGCGTGGGGCCAGGTGGGCGGCCGAAGTGAGGACCGGAAGAGGGCGCGCGGGGGGCCGCCCGGGGCGCGGTCTGATCACGTCACTTCCGGCGCCGGGTCCAATTCCTGGTGAGGGAAGGGGCCTGAGATTGGTGCAGCCCGGAGGAAGGAAAGAGGGTGAGGAGAGGCAGCGCCTGGCCGGGCGAGCGGCGGGGGCGGCCGGGGGCGCTCTGGGCAGCCGCGTTCTCCCGCCCGGATCCGCCCGCCGGGGCCGCCGCGGGTTGGCCCGGGGGCGCGGGCGCGGCCCCCCGCGGAGCTGCGCGTCTGTGCTGAGCGGCTGTGCTCTGTGTTGCAGGTCTACCCGGAGCCGCGCAGCGAGAGCGAGTGTCTGAGCAACATCCGCGAGTTTCTGCGAGGCTGCGGGGCCTCCCTGCGCCTGGAGGTGAGCGGTGGGGCGCGGGCGTCGGCGGGGCGCGGGGACCCCGGGGGCCGGGGAGGGGCGCGCCAGGGCGTGAACGCAGCCCAGGGCGGGGAGGAGCCGCCGTACCGAGCTCCGAAGTTGGCCCTCTGTACAGTGAGGGAAAATGGTTCCAGCAGCTTGGGGTGCAGGCGACACATTTTCGACAGCTGCCTGTTACGGGGCGACCTGGTTGCTTGGCGCTTGCCTCCGCTGGACCTGCTGTCAGGGCGCCGAGGGCGACCGGCCGCCAGGCCTGGGTCCGCGCGTCCGAGTCCCCGGGAGGGGATGAGGCAAAGCCGGGCGCTAGTAAAATGGGTCCTAGTCCTCGTCCAGCCTCACTCCTCCAGGCGTTCCTTTTCTCCCAGGAATTAGGCGGGCTTCACTCCAACAGCCGATGTTTCGATCAGAGACACGCTGGCTGACCCATGTCTTGGGGAGGACGCTGGGCGGTGTGTCTCCGCCGAGTGGCCTCAGGTTTTGTCCCTACGCTACATGCAGCCTTTCAGGGATGCTCCCTGGAGACTTCTCTCTCTCTCTCACCTTATTTTAACATGCGATTCGTCTTCATCTTGGGATAGTGCTTTAGACCCAGAAACCCAGCTGGGCATTTACTTCAGAATTGCAGACCGACGCGGCCGCAGTCAGATCTGTGCTGAGCTCCTGTGCTCTCTGGCTTCCCTGCGTCGCCGCGCTCGCGGCCTCTGGCTCCTTTTCGGAGGACGGAGTGGGATCCTGAGCTCCCGGCTAACGGTGCACGGAAGCGTCTCACAGAACCTGTTATGTAAGGTGGATCCACGGAGGGTTTCTGTCCAGGCTCTCATTGTAGGCTTCTTGGGGGGAAAAGCTAGAAGTCATTCACTCTGTGAGGGAAGGTTATAAGGAGAGCTTATCTGTCATTTGAAATTCGATGCGTAGGCATTCATAGAGATGGGAATACTGTTTTTATGAATGATTGTAAGCCGAGATGCTTTGTTGTTGGGAGTATTTGATGTCTGCGAGGAAACCTTGTACCGACAAGGGAGAAGGCTTAGTGCAGATTCCCGAAGGGCCGTTTCCTCTGCTGGATGGGCTTTGGCATTTTATCACAGTTTATCCTAGTGGGCTGTGATAATAAGCTTTGCTTGTAGCAGTTTTTGCTTTTTCGTAACCTCTGTTGTGGAACTGTGTTATCCTCTTCAAACTAACGCGTTTTGTTTATAGTACATTTGAAACCCAGTTTGCACATGAAGATTATAATCAGACAACTTCAGTGTAAGACTTTTAAAGCATTGTTTTAAAAAAAGTTACGTGTTAAAAAAAACCCTCATCCTTAGTTTTCCAAAGGTTGCTGTTGAAATGTCATGTAACGATTTTTTAAAAATGTTTAATTGAGAGTTTATTTAAAGATGTATTAGAAAAGTCTGTTCACTAACTTATCCCAAGCATCTAGAACAGTGCTTGGCACATAGTAGACCTTCAGTAAATATTTGTAATTGATTGATGAGCTTGAAGTTCAGTTGATAGCAATTTTTTTTTTAAGGTAAAGGGAAATTATGACTTACTTTGTGCTGTTTTTTAATGAGTAAATATCTCTTTCATTAAACTTAAAATATAGGCACATTTATTAGCATTCTATCAAGGGTCAGTTGCAAGCCACACTTAAAATTCCTAATTACATTACAGATAATAAAAATAAAACAGCACATCAAAAACCTCCTAAATGGTTTGTCACTCTGATTTTTATGAAGTTACCCTGAAAAAGGAGTTTGTAGGGACCCAACTTGGGCTTCCAGGCTTGTTCTCATCTGTGGTGTGAAGGAGCAGGCCTGTTCCCTAGAAGATGGCCTTGCACTGAGACCACAGTGCAGCAGTTTCCCAGTGACTTTATTTTATTTTCCTTCACATCTTCCTTATTTATTCCCCCTCCCCATGACCATTTATACCCCCATAAACTCTTCTGCCGCCACCCTCCCTCAACATCTGATTGCTTGAATTGTAGATTAGTTTTTGTATAGTTACAGATGTCAAGGTGCTTTGTTCCAGGGGTTTGTTTGGACTTATTTGTAGCAGACTGTCTGTATTTGGTAGATGTATTTGCTTGTTTGCCACCATTTTAAACTATCCCAAGAATTTTAAAGGAAAAGAGGAACTGAATATCATGGTTACTTTATCAGTTATTTCAGTTGAATACACATCGTAATTAGCTGTAGAAAATTCCCCAACAAGTTGTTCTTATTATCAAAGGAGTTTTAATTTTAAAGGAATATTGTACAGTTTGCGTTTGTTGTTAGAATAGGGCAGAAAATAGAGAAATGTAAGAAAAAAAAATTGTGTACTGCCACATCTAAAGATAACCAGTGTTAAAATTACTGTATATATTTTCAGTCTTTCCCCCCCCTTTACACAAATGTAAAAAGACTTACAAAATATCCATGACATCATTGTATACATAATGTTTTGTAACGTGCTTTAATTTAACATAGTGTGACTGTTTTCTCATGTTAAATATTTGTCTGCTTACTTTTAAAAGGATGCTTCATAGTTCCTAGTGGAAATTCTCATTTTTGGATGTAGAGGTTATTTCTGAGTTTTCATTACTGTAAACATTGGACTGTGCAGTGGACATTTCTGTACAAAATCCTTTATCATTATCTTTTAAGGAGACATTTCCTGATAGGGCACTGCTAGGCCAAAGGTAAGGGCTTTTAAAAGGTTTTTGAACATTACACTGCCAAATGTCTGCAGACATTTTTATTGCTTTGCCTTTGCCCGGTTAGCAGGATATGAGAGGACTCCTTTCCAGTCCTGTGACGGCCTGTCCCTGTTGTGTTTTCTCTTTCACCCAGGAAGATGGAAGGCATTTTGGCTTTTCTTCCTTGTATTGTTGACCGTGCCTGTATACCTAGGTTCATGGTAAACTAAGGCAAATGTGAGGCACTCATAATTTCTTGCATTGGATGTTTGAAAGAGGATGTGAGAGAGAAGCTGCTAGAATAGAAAATAAAAGTTGAAAACCTCAGACGTTTGCAGTTACCTTCCAGCTTTCTCACGAGGCTGCTGGCCAGAGGCGTTCTGTGGCTGGGCTGTGTAGGTGGGAACTCTGGCTGGAAGCGCCCTGGAGACTGCAGAGGGGCTGGTTTCCCTCTGTGTGTGCATGATGTCCTTTTCACTTTCTCTCTTTAAGTTGAGGGGGCATGAAAAGATGTTCGGGTGGGCTCTGCAGTATTGTAATCAGCTGGGCTGATTTAGTGAGGTAGGGTGAGGTTTTGGGAAAGGAATTGCCTTGCACATTCCTAAACACTTACCTTCCCTGTGTACTTCTGAAGGACAAACTCTTTTATTTATGATACTTCTTTGCCCTAATGCTCACTTCTTTTCCAGATTTTTAGCCAAGGTTATGATTGAGATTTCGTCCAAAAGAATATTTTAAAATACTATTAAAATAACATAGTCCTGGCCAGTGTGGGTCAGTGGTTAGAGAGTCAGCCCACACACCAAAGGGTCCCAGCTTCGATTCCCAGTCAAGGGCATGTACCTGGATTACAGGTTCGATCCCCAGTCCTGATTGGGGTACGTGTGGGAGGTATGATGTGTCTCTTTCACATCAGTGTATCTCTCCCTCTCCCCCCCCCCCCACCCCAACTCCTCTCCATTCCCTCTGTCTCTCCCCCCCCCTCTGTTCCTTCCACTCTTTCTAAAAATCAATGGAAAAATATCCTTGGGTGAGGATTAAGAAACCTACTGGGGATGGAGCCTGCAACCTGGGCATGTGCTTTGATCTGGAATTGAACCCTCGACCTCTCAGTGCATGGGAAGACAATCAACTGAGCCACACTGGCCAGGGCAAAGAATTTGAATAAAGACAAAAGTATATCTATAGTCTTTTCCCTAGGGATGGGATGCCTCACCCAAGTGTTACCTTCGTTTTAGATTTAGATAGATAGTTAAACTGTGTACTGTAGCTTTGCATTGAAGGTGTTTTAGGCCACACAGCAGTCTTCTTAGCTAGTCATCTTCTGTATCACTGACTCAGTGGTAAGCTGGAAATGGTAGGTAATGACATAGTATTTATTGGTGGACTTATTGAATAAACTTTGAAGTCAGTTTATTTATGCCTTTACCAGAAATTGCCTTTCAAAAAAATTGAAATGTTTTGTAATTAAAAGGTCACTTGAGAGGTGAAAAGGGTATTATCTGAACATTTTGTAGGTACTTAAAAGCAAAGAAAGCCAAATTCTACTCAGGTACTATAATTCTATTTTCATTTTTCCTGGCAAAAAGTGTCAAAGTTGACTCTGTCTTATATTTTATTTAGTTCTTATCAAACTGTCTTGTGGGGTGAGCATTTGGTTACCTCTTTGTCTTGGCTGCTTTCCCAGTGTGGATAATTAGACCTTTCTCTCTATTTCAGATATTTGGGTGCCTCGTCTAGATCATCACTACCCAATAGAAATAGAGTGCAAACTACATTTGTAATTAAAAAATTTCCATTAACACATTTAAAAAGTAAAAAGAAATATGAAGTTAATTTTAATAATGCATTCTTATTAATCCACTGTATTCATAATGATGTTCTTTCAATGTGTAGTTAATATAAAAATAGTAATGAGCTTGTTAAATCTTTAAAATCTTGTGTGTATTTGTCACACTCACAGCATACCTCAGCTATGGATTAGCAACATTTCAAGTGCTCAACAGCTCACGTGGCAAGTGGCCTCACATTGGACAGTGCAAGTGCAAGTCTAGATCATTGAAGAGGCTGGAGAAATAGTCATCTTCAAAATTAAATGGGAGTAACATTTGCTGAGTACAAATTATGGGCTAGACATTTCATATATACTATTTTATTTAACCCCCCCGAATACCCTGCAAAGAAGATGTTGCTTTCCCCATTTTGCAGTTGAGATCAATATATTAGTTGGTTAAGAGGTCCCACATCATCAGCCAGCATGTGAGTGTGTCAGGATTTGAACTTGGATCTAGTGGCTCTTCCAAGTATGCTG